GTTGTCGCCCGGATCCGGGCACTGGGGTTGCGCATCTCGCCGCAAAAGACGGAGGCGGTCATGTTCCATGGCCTGCCTCTGTCGCGGCGAGCCCCCAGTGCCTGGGTCCGAGTAGGAGACGCCTGCGTCCAGATCGGGGACCGGATGAAATATCTGGGCCTCGTTCTGGACAGCCGCTGGCGCTTCGAGGTTCACTTCGACCGCCTGGTCCCCCGGATTCAGGGCGTGGCAACCCTTTTGGGTAGCCTTATGTCCAATCTCGGGGGACCAGATGAGAAGGTACGCCGCCTATACATGGGGGTGGTGCGGGCCATGGCCCTATACGGTCATCCCGTGTGGGCCCACGACGTGGTGGCCAGCCGGCACTGCCGGCTGCTATTGCGGCGCGTGCAGCGCCGTATGGCCATCCTCGTCGTGAGGGGCTACCGCACCATCTCGCATGAGGCGGAGGTCGTCCTGGCGGGGTCTGTTCCCTTCGATTTCCAGGCGGAGGCTGACGCCGATGTATATCGGCGTCTTCAGAGCCTCCGCTGGAATGGAACGGACCCGCCGGACGAAGAGGTCGAACAAACGAAGCGCCAGGCTCGACGGCTCGCTCGCGAGCAGTGGCGGCGCCAGCTGATTGACAGCGGCGCCGCCCGGCAGCGAGCCGTCGGCGCGGTCTTGCCCGTTTTGGACGGGTGGCTGGACCGCCGGCACGGCAAGCTTTCCTACCGGCTCACACAGGTGCTCACCGGACACGGTTGTTTCGGTGAGTACCTGTGTGGGATAGGAGCCGAGGCGACAAGCGAGTGCCACCAGTGCTGCGCGGAGATAGACTCCGCGCAGCACACGTTGGAGGAGTGCCCGGCCTTTGCCAGGGAGAGGCGGGCACTCCGGTTGGAGGTGGGACACGACCTCTCGCTCCCAGCCGTGGTGACAGCCATGGTCGGGAGCGAGAGGTCCTGGAAAGCGGTGTCCTCCTTCTGCGAAACTGTACGTGCCTGGGAAGTCAAGCCGACTTGGTGCGTGAGGCAAACCGTCCTCACCATCCTCACGCGTACGCGTCTCAAACAGAGGAGTCGTTATTTGCAAACCGCTTGAAGGCAGTGTCCATCGGATCTCATTCAATTCTATTCCTCTCTGGACGCCCAGCACAGTTGTCACAAGTTTTACATTCCACTTTAAAATCAATTATTGTAACAGTTATATTATAAATTCAACAAATCAGATTCAGTGAAATCATATTAACTCTTTCAAATTAAATAGCGACTCGTTTGAGACGAGTACACGTGAGCGAACAGCTCAAAGTCAGGTTTGTCATTCAATTAAATGTGAGGCTCGCCTCGCGGCCAAGGCTCGGCTTGCCTTCTCACACGAGGAGCTCGCCAGACGATTATTCGTCGAGAAAGCAACTGATGCTATCGTCTAGAATCTCGGGTTAGGAGCGTTTGACTCACTACTTGAACGGTAGGATATACGTAGAGGATCTATGGTGATTCCATCGTGATATTCGGAGTAAGATTCAAGTAGATGAGTTCGGTTTGTTAGAGCTGAAGCACGATCACCGTTTGATGACCTAGCACTGGAAAGAAGTGTGGAACCACATGCATGTGCACCCACTCTGAAATCTTTTGTGCAGTATTCTCACGTGGGTTTAGTGTGTGTCTCCATCCAAGAAATCAACCCGATTAATCGGCTCGACTATTGGTTGCTGAGACGGACGCCAATCTTCCTAGATAATCTCGTCTTAATATTCTTGATAATAGCATCATGCGCGTGTACGCGTACGTCCGTACGCGATTCATTCCGTGAGTTGAGGACGTCGATCGTCTCCGTCTGAAACCCGCGTCGCGTGATTAGTACATAAAGGACTCGTTTCGCAATCTTTATCCGTAACATCAAGAATCGGCGCCTGTGCCGATATTAACTTCGTAAAAACTGGCACCATGTATTCGTGTAACGCACGTGAAAAGACATACATATAGAATATACTTCATTTCTAC